CTTCCCAACCCAGGGATTGAACCCAGGGCAATTTTCTAGGGGCATAAATCAACATGTGGCATAGATAATATGATCTTCCTATATGAGTGAAAATATGAAAGTAGTGGTCAGTAAGGATTAAACATGTACTAGCACTTATAGACTAGTAAATGCTCACAAGTTATTCTCACACACACAATGACAGAGAATAGATTGTTTCCCCAATACAGGCAATGCTCAGTAGAAGTTATGCCAAAGATCCCCATGTTTTCTCAGATTTCATAAAGTTGAAGAAGAAATATTTGGTCTCCTTTAAGTTCTAAGAGTAAAGGAATAGATCTCATTGTATGACGTTAAAGGGGCTGCAAAAATAAAGGAGGAGGAGAAAAAAATTAGATAAAAATACTCTGTGAGGCCTGTTCCACTCACGAGTTAACTACCAAGGTCACAGCCAGGATGTACACTTTCCCTGAGTTTCAGAGACTTTAGACAATCCTCTGACAGCCAAAACTTAGGGCTTAAGCCTAGTTTGAGGAGAACTTCTAGAAGGAAGTAGCTAAGGAAGCCAAGTACCTCTTTTTTGTTTGTTTTCTCCATCTCCCTCTCCCCTCAGTCAGGACATTCCATTCTTTGAGATTCATCATGAATCTAAGATTCATCATGAATATCTGTAGAATATCACTCCTCCTGCCCCCGATCCCTCCCAGCATCAGGGTCTTTTCCAATGAGTCAACTCTTCACATGAGGTGGCCAAAGTACCGGAGTTTCAGCTTCAGCATCAGTCCTTCCAGTGAACACCGGGACTGATCTCCTTTAGGATGGACTGGTTGGATCTCCTTGCAGTTGACCATTAGCTATACATAAATGGTACTTTATACAAAATGGGAGAGCAAGACTTGTCCAATAATTACTAGGACTTCTTATTCTAGTATAATTTTTGGTAACATCTTTTGATAAATAAAGTGACCTTATGCAGCATGTACATTATGTAAAATTGGATAAAATTTGTAGAAATATGAAGATCATTTTCTGGGATTCATTTTTGCAAGCTCTTTGCAGTCAGAGGTTTGTTTTCTTCCTCTTTTACTAGTTGAGGTATTAAGTCAAGAATTTATTACATACTAGGTTCTCTAATCCTGAGTGTTGAAATAGTTGCATATTATAAATTACATAAGCATTTTTTATTTTAAAGAGAAATATTTTGTCCAGTTTCTAGTTAGTCTGCTAACAGTCATCAGATTGCACCTCTTTACTTTGGATAGGAAGATATTGGTGAAAAAATTTTCAGAAGCAACTCGTACTTCCTATAAAAAAAGAAAATTTTGCTCATCATTGCTTATTTTGCTTCATATCATTATCTCTCCAAGATTCCAAAAGGTAACTTGCAGATAAGCATCACATATCTCTGTTGAGACATACATCTATGGGTGAGGTGCTGTTCTTGGTATTATGTATATAAACATATATTCAACTTCCTTGTCCTCCAGAAGTCCATGATCTGAATTCCTGAGGACACAGACTTGTGAATAACCAACTGTAATGCAGTATGATTAATATAATCTGAACCATGCACGAACACAAAAGAAGTGATTTAATTCCAGCTGGAAAACTGGAAAAGATAATGTAAGACTGTCATAAAACTGACCAGAAATTTGCTAAATGGGAAAGTAGGAAAGTGAGAGTATTCTAGGTATCTATGTTCTTGCAATAAAACCACCTGCTTTTTTTTTTCCCCATGTGAAGGTTAGAAACTTCATTCATTTCTTCAACAAGTTTTTGATGAGTTCCTACTGTGAATAAGACACTCAGAAACAAGATGCTTCTCTGTGTTGCATTGTAGTCTGGGATTGCCAAGAACCTGGAGATAATTTTTCTTTACTCATCATATATGCACCTCATTTTAAGAACCATTAGTATGGGCATAGGGCAAAGATCATTTTTTAAGAAAACTTTATTCATTCATTCATTCAGTCAGTCAGCCAACAATATTTGTGGAGTGCCTGCCTTTGTGCTCAATATTGTTAAGTAGAGAACACTTACCTGGAAGGAAGTATTCAAGAATCACATCTGTCCAGACAATTTTTTAAACAACAGAGGAGTTGGGATTGAGTTTGGTGAATGGCCACAGTCAGGAGAAAGGAGAGCAAGAGAGAAGTAAAAGAGGCCTGTGAACCAGGCAGGCTGATCAAAAGGGCTTGGGGAGAACCAGCTCAAGGAGAGGCCAACAAGTCCTCAACCACCACCCCTGCTGGTGCCAACAAGGCCCAGTGCAGTGGGATGAGGGGTCACTGGCTTGTTCAGAGGTCAGTACTGGTCTGGAGGCCACTTCTAGGAGCAGTGAAAGGGGCCGGGAGCATGTGGAGGACAGATAGGGATGCAGGAGAACACAAATGAGGGGCAGAGGTGGGGTGAAGACAAAGTGGTCTTCAGGGACTTCCCTGGTGGTTCAGTGGTTAGGACTCCACACATCCACTACAGGGGGCCCAAGTTCAAATCCTGGTCGGGGAACTAAGATCTCACATGTCTCGTGACATGGCAAAAAAACAAAAATGCTCTTCAAAGTAACAGAAAAGGAAGTCGCTCAGTCATGTCTGACTCTTTGTGACTCCATGGACTGTAGCCCACCAGGCTCCTCCATCCATAGAATTTTCTAGGCAAGAGTACTGGAGTGGGTTGCCATTTCCTTCTCCAGGGCATCTTCGCAATCCAGGGATCGAACCCAGGTCTCCCTCATTGCAGGAAGATGCTTTACCGTCTGAGCCACCACCTGTGTATGTTTAAAGGCATAATGCATGGATGCAATTTATCTTTTATTTCTGGTGTCCAATTTCTTGGACTCTTTATTATTTTGTGAAAACTCCCTGCCTTGTTTAATTTTTAAAATATGGCCGCAGTTAACACAATATGTGAAAACCCCCATTTGTATTTGCTTGCAGAATGTATCATGTATTTATTAACTTTTCCCTGCATTATTTCACTGTTATTATTAGGATAAAAATGGACATTTTAAAAGACAAATATACCATGTTTTTGATGATGATAGTTCAGTTCAGTTCAGTCGCTCAGTCGTGTCCGACTCTTTGCAACCCCATGAACCGCAGCATGCCAGGCCTCCCAGTACATCATCAACTCCACAATTTTGACTGTTATCATATTGAATATTTTTCATTAAAAAAGGCTCATTTTATTCCTAATAATTTTGTTTAAATGCTTAGCATATAAAGTCACTATTACACTTTTGCTGTATAAATAGTAAGCAATGTGAATAGTGGAATTTAAAAGAGAAAGCTTGAAAATGAAAACTCTGTTATTTTTGAACATGTATTTCACAGCATGAGAACAAATTATTCAGTTATTCATTTTATAAAGAGAAAAATGCATTTAAAATTAGAATTGTACCATTCAGAGATAGTAATTCATGCAGTCATAAGAGAAATATAAATGTGCCATTATCAGTGGGTAGAGAAAAAAATCATGTTTCAATAAAACATTTGGTGATTAAATATCTCTGAAAAAAACTTTCTAGAAAAGAAAGAAAGACAATTGAAAGTCAGGTATACAACATTAGGCTTTTAACATGATCAGGGAGAATTAGAAAATTACAGAGCATGAATCAGCTATAGACTTCTTTAAAATTCATCTTCTGTGAGAAATCTGAGGTCACCTAACTTCCATTGACCATTAGCTTTAGCATCACTTTTTTTGCTTTCTTCTGAGCAAAAGATACCTTAATCCAAGATTTCATAAACTCTAGTATATGTGTGTGTGCTAAGTCGCTTCAGTCATGTCCAACTCTTTGCGGCCCTGTGGACTGAAGCCCTGCAGGCTCCTCTGTCCATGAGATTCTCCAGACAAGAATACTGGAGTGAGTTGCCCTGCCCTCCTTCAGAGATCTTCTTGACTCGGGTATCAAACCTAGGTCTCCATAGGTCTGGATCAAACCTTGCATTGCAGTCAGATTCTCTACCATCTGAGCCACCGGGAAGCCCAGGTATTATGATAACCTTTGTAAAATAATAAAAATTCCCCATGAATTAAGTATGGGCTTATTTTTCCAGCAGTGGCGTAGATTTGCCCTGATCAGCCTGTACTCTTGAGCTTACGATCCTTTGGGCTCAGTGCCCGCGGTGAGAGAAGGTTTGCAGGATTTGCCAGCTTGTGAAGCAGAATGGTGGTGGCCAGCTAACCCACAGGAGAGCCAATCTGCCACCCTGGCTGAGCTAACAGCGTCCCCGCAGCAGGTCTCTGAGCTAACGAGGTTACCTTGGAGAGAATGTTCTTGGAAACTTGGCACCTGCCTCAGTCCAGCAGTGTGCTCACTCAGGTAAGGAGGCTGCTCCAGTTTCTCTGGGGTACCTCCTGTCCCCTGCTTACAGCCTGTTTTATCCTCTCTCTTATCTTTTATGTTAATAGCATGCTCTTTTCCTCCTTTATCCCACACCATCTCTCTCGTGTCAACACTCCCTCTATGGACTTCGCCTGGTGGTCCATGGTTAAGAATCCAGCTACCAATGCAGGGGAGACAGGTTTGACCCCTGGTCTTGGAAGATTCCACATGGTGCAGAACATCTAAGCCCGTGGGCCGCAACTGCTGAAGCCCAAGCACCCTGGAGCCCCTGCTGTGCAATAAGAGAAGCCGCTGCTGTCAGAAGCCCGGCACCCCAGTTAGAGTAGCCCCCTCTCGCCACAACTAGAAAAAGCCCATGGAGCGGCAACCAAGCTCCAGCACAGCCAAAGATAAATCAAGAATGTAAGGAAGAAAATTTAAAAAATACTCCCTTTCTAAACAACATCGGTGTGTATGTAAAAACCCAAACAGGAGGTTTTTGAATGTTTAGTTTATCTCCGAAGGGTCATTTTTCTCTTTGCATCTATCAAAAGGTGATTGCCCATCACATCCTCAATAAAGGACTTTGATATTTAGATGTTTTTCACCAGATTTCACCGCAGTGAGTACCAAATGTCTGCCAGAGAGTGAGAGAAGCATTTTTTACATTAATTCATTTTTTTAAATTTTATAGCGGAAACCCCCAATGGTGGTAGATGATCTTTTTGAAGACATGAAAGATGGCGTGAAGCTACTTGCCCTACTGGAAGTCCTGTCTGGGCAGAAACTGGTAAGGATGTTTTCTGTGACCACATTTGTCAAATTTTTCCCGTTTGGAATTTGGGGAGTGTAGATTGGGGAGTGTAAAGGGTGCTACTCATGTAAAAGTTTTTCTCTTTTGTAGTTGGTAATTCATAGGAAACACTAATCTATCGATCACTTCTGGGAGCAAGGAATACATTTTCTTTCTTGTTCCCGGACACCTGTAGTAGCTTTAAAACATTATGTATAGTAGTCGCAACTTACAAGTAAAGGTAAGGAGCTTCATCAATAATCAGTCCCGGTTAACTGCTGCATCTGTGTGGTATCCAGGAAGATAAGTTGGAAATTAATATCTAACACATTTTAAGTGCTTATTTTCCATTTGGAAAGGATTGTTGGTCCAGTTGTTTCCATAGTATTGAACATTAAGCTTGAAAGCAACATGGCATTTTTCATCCATTGGTGGACATTCTCCATCATCATTTGTAATGGGAACAGTGTGTTCAGAATCATTTGATTTTATGTTCAGCAGAACTAGCAGAATGAAAAACAAATTGCCACTGACCTATAAAATGTCTTTTTCTTCATTACTAAAATAATAAAATATTTAGTTCTTTCTGGCTTTTTTTTTTTTCATTTTGGAATAGTAGAGAAGTAAGTAGTTTGCAAACATAAATTATTTATGTGACATTTCCCATAAGTTTTAAAAGGAGCTCAGGAAATAATCTTCAGAATATTGTATAACACACTAGACACAGTGTCCAAAATTGGATGTACTTATTTTTTCTTAATCTGTTGCATCTTGACAAAGAGCTGCTCAATCATTATTACTTGGATAAATGAGGTTTTTAAAGTGTTTTTGCCTGGTCATAAATTTCCAGTTAATTTCACGTGGGAGTCTTCAACATAGCTTTTATAAATGTAAGATAGTTGTTTGTTGGAAAATACAAACTGATAATTTTTGTATAAGTCATAATCTACTTGCATTCATATTACAGCAGAGGCTTCTGGTGAGCCATCTCAACTCACCTCTGACCTAGCCACGGCAGAGGTGAACACGACCCATACCCTCCATCAGCATCTCAACTCAAGTTCTGGCAACACCTGTCTGAATTTCTGTCCTCGGGGCTTTTATTAAAGCTGTAGGTTGCAAGGCAACCCTAAAGTGTGGGAAAGTTAATGGTTTCAAAAGGGATGGATGGGAGTTTATGAATAAAAACTCCAGCCTGGCATTTGTAGGAGGGACAATTTCAAGGCTTATTTCGCACATCAGGGAGTGCTCCATTGGATCCTCAGCAGAGCTGAGCCCGTTGCCCACTGAGGAGACCCTCAACAGCACACTGTACTATTATAGATTATTGTTAATTGATTTTTCTTCCTTCCTTCTCTCACTCTCCATGCATCCTCACTCTTGCTACCTGGGATCATCTCCCCAGTCATTGCATGCACCATGTTGTTATCTCCGGCTCCGCTTTGGGAGAAATCAAACAAGACACATGTGACAATCCAATTTGGAATCAACAGATGTATGCATGAGCTAGATAAACTGGATTAGCATTAGGATGTGAGAGTCATCGTACTGAAACATTTACCTCCTTGATGGCCAGGTGTGACTAGCTATCTTCATGTATCCTCCTGAATTAAGCCATTTACTTACATGAAGGAACCTTCATTACAATTCACACAAGATTTAAGAAGTGTCTCATTCAAAGTTTCATTTTAATTGTGCCACTCTACTTGGCCAACAGTATATAGAAACCTTGATGGGCATTAACTGCCAAGCTAAATGAGTCTAGAGAAGGTATACATTTTGACATAATAATTCTACTTCTGTTTAAGTGCCCTGCCCATTCAGTCATGGTAAGAATTTTAGAATCTTGAAGCTAGAAGCAATTTCAGAAAGAATATCTGCATTCTTATTTAACATAGAGGAAACTGAGACATAGAAATACAGTTTCTGGTTTAAATTTCAACATTCAAAAAAAGAAGATCATGGCATCCAATCCTATCACTTCAGGGCAGATAAATGGCGAAAATGTGAAAACAGTGTCACATTTCATTTTCTTGGACTCTAATATCACTGCTGACAGTGACTCCAGCCATGAAATTAAAAAGTCGCTTGCTCCTTGGAACAATAGCGTGACAAACCTACACAGTGTATTAAAAAGCAGACACATCACTTTGACCACAAAGGTCCATCTAGTCAAAGCTATAGTTTTTCTAGTAGTCATGTATGGGTGTGAGAGTTGGACAGTAAAGAAGGCTGAGTGCTGAACAATTGATGATTTCAAACTGTGCTGCTAGAGAAGACTTGAGAGGCCCTTGGACTGCAAGGAGATCAAACCGGTCAATCCTAAAGGAAATCAACCCTGAATATTCATTGGAAGGACTGTTGCAGAAGCTAAAGCTCTAGTACTTTGGCCACCTGATGCGAAGAGCTGAATCATTGGAAAAGATCCTGCTGCTGGGAAAGATTGAGAGCAAGCGGAGAAGGGGACGACAGAGGATGAGATGGCTGGATGGCATCACTGACTCAACGGACATGAGTCTGAGCAAACTCTTGGAGGTGATAGTGAAGGACAGGGAAGCCTGGCATGCTGCAGGTCATGGGGTTGCAAAGAGTCGGACATGACTTAGTGACTGAACAGCAACAAAATTAATTAATTAATTAATTATTTTGGCTGTGCCATGTAGCATGCAGGATCTTAGATCACAGACTAGGGATCAAGTCCATGTTCCCTTCAGTGGAAGCATGGTGTCTTAACCACTGGAATTTCAGGGAAGTCACCTTCATTATTTATTTTTATTAAACCCTTCAAAATTCTGAATTGCATAAAAGGAAATTACTCTGAAATTATAAATAAATCTTGGTGATTGTTATTTAAATTTTGTACATGTGGACATTTTGATCCAGGACCACATTAAGATGAAAAGCATCATTTAAGGGGCTGAGTATCTGAGGCATTCTTATAGAGCTTTCAAAAGGAGAATGTGAACAAAAGCATTTCCCTCAGGAGTGTTAGCAGAGTCCAGGAACTCTATAATTATCTCATACGTAGAACTCTATTAAGAACACTATATTTAATGTCATGATTCAGATAGCCTAGGACTCTGGCTTTGGCCATGATCTTCTAGGAAATGCAGCCAAATGCCTTAATAGTATCATCAGCATCTCAATGTAAGAGAAGAATCTCAATATCTTAGTTTCTTTTAATAACCTACTGTGACTCTCTTATCTGTGATTTTATTTCAGGTACTAGGGAATTTAAAATTTTGAGAATTATTATCCTTGGATTTCTCTCCATCACTTGATTATTATTTGTAGAACATTTACTCTTTGAATGGATCCATGATTATATATCTTCAATCACACATAAAGATAGGAATACTAAATTCAATTTTATACACAGGTTTTTTTTAAAGGATGTGAGGAATTGCTGCTGAAAAATTTAAAATAGTAGAAGCAATATGAATAGAACTTAAGGACTGCAGAGAAATTTATTTCTTATCTATTTTGTTAATCTTATGTATAGTGCTTTTCAAGACTCTTTAACACTCTGCATTCAAGAAGAGTCTAAAAAGCCACTTAAAAGTACACAGTGGCCATTCTTAGGAAATTGGGAGCATCACAGGCTCCTGTGCATCCATCAGGTGACTATGTTAAGCATCAGTCATATATTTATAATAGAACTTGTGTGTAACTGGGTTTAGCATTATCTATTGACCATTCAGCTAACATATCTGGAGTCGCTATTATGGATAAGGCATTGCCTTTTGCTCTCTGAGGAGAACAAAGATAAATGAGGTATGGTCGGTGCGCTCTAAGAGCTTGTAGCCTATTAGGGAGGATCATTGTGTTAGTTAATGGCAGGTCAATTGTGTTAAAATTGATGCAAATATGAGATAGTTGCCATGGTGTAGGAGAGCAAGAGGATGAGATGAAGGGTTATGTTGAGGGATCTGGCTTTCGTTCTTAATTTCTGGGTCCTGACTTGGCTTTAGTTGCAGGTTCCTAGATGCTTTTCACATTTCAAAAGATAATTAATCAAATAACTAAGTAAATGAGCCATGCAAGAAAATAATAAATTTTTTAAAAATGTTCAATATATTTTCTATTTAAATATTTGTTTAAAATCATATCATAGGAATCACCTGTTTGTTATTAAATGGAAATGAAAAGATATTTGGTTTTGAGCTCTAATAGGAAATTGTTAATATAGAGTTTTGGTGTCACAAAGAAGAGACCAGTCTATCAGCTCTGCAATCATGGACTTGTTATCCTCTCAGACCCTGTAAATGTAATGCTACTGACTTCATTGAAATTATTTTGAGTTTTAAAATGAACAGTGTGGCACGTAGAAGTCACTGATTATTTTATTATATTTATTAAAATATGTATTAATTTTTTACATTTTGCTACATTAAATGCAAGTAACTTAGTATCCTTGTACCAGATCATATTGTTTTGTGCAGAACATTTTCTTTCTCACATTCCTACTTTTTAACCTTGGTTCATATAAACCATGTGAGCTTCCCAGGTGGTGCTAGTGGTAAAGAGCCTGCCTTCCAGTGCAGGAGACATAAGAGACGTGGGTTCGATTCCTGGGTTGGGAAGATCCCCTAGAGTAGGAAATGGCAACCTACTCCAGTATTCTTTCGTGCAGAATCCCATGGACAGAGGAGCCTGGCGAGCTACAGTCCGTAGGGTAACAAAGAGTCAGGCATGACTGAAGTGACTTGGCATGCATCCATATGCACCAGCATTTGGTCACTCAAACGGAGAAATGTCACTAACACTGTCAGTAACTTTCATGTTGGTATGACTGAAAAAAAAATGTGAGTAACCAACAGTACTTTTTTTAAGACTATTTTTCAGAGCAGTTTTAGGTTCATGACAAAATTGAGAGGAAAGGAGAGAGATTTCCCGTGTTTCTCCTGCCCCCTTATATGCACCAAGAGGACTTTTCATAAAAATATTTCCTAACTTACAAGGGGAACAGTCGCAATAGACAGCGTAGGAATTTTGTGAATTTCTAACCTTAGGCATACAGAAACCTTAAGGGTAAGTGCATTCATCAGCTGAGAATGAATGTTTATTATTGAGTNAAAGGAGAGACATTTCCCGTGTTTCTCCTGCCCCCTTATATGCACCAAGAGGGCTTTTCATAAAAATACTTCCTAACTTACAAGGGGAACAGTCGCAATAGACAGCGTAGGAATTTTGTGAATTTCTAACCTTAGGCATACAGAAACCTTAAGGGTAAGTGCATTCATCAGCTGAGAATGAATGTGTATTATTGAGTCAACTACACACCTTCCAAGTGCTGTGGGGATAATGCTCCTGTGGCTATCAGCTAACCTTTATAGAAACTGAGTAATGTTGGCTGTTCTCAAACATTCTTCAAGTATGCTTTGGATCCATTTAAATAGCTTTTAATAACTGTCATTTTAATGTGTGCATTTTCATTTATTCTTGTCTTTCTCCCTTTCATAGCCGTGTGAACAAGGACGCCGGATGAAGCGAATTCATGCTGTGGCGAACATTGGCACAGCACTGAAGTTCCTTGAAGGGAGGAAGGTAAGAGAAACAGAGACAAAAGAAGAAGGCGTGGGCATACTAATATTTTCAGTATTGATTTTGGGGTAGAAATACAGCATGCAATCTCTACAACATAAAAGCGTGGTATTATTGTAAAATCATTTTAGACTGGCAGAAGTGGCAAAAAAGGCACAGAGGTGTCACGTCTGTACTTTAGTCAGCTTTCTCTAATGTGAAGAACTTATTTATATACATGGTACACATATGTAGGGCTTCCCAGGTGGCGCAGTGGTTAAAGAATTGGCCTGCCAATGCAAGAGAATCAAGAGACTCAGGTTCAATCCCTGGGTCAGGAAGATCCCCTGGAGGAGGAAATGGCAACTCACTCCAGTATTCTTGTCTGGAAAAATTCCATGCACAAGAAGATCCTAGCAGGGACATGAAAAGTCCATGGGGTCGCAAAGAGTCAGACATGACTGACCACACACACACACACACACACACACACGCAGTACATAGGAAACACTAGGCTATTGGTCACTTATGCATATATATAATATATATAACATATATGTAGCATGTGTAGCATATACATAACATAGTAAAGCTATCAAATGAGAAAATTAAAATTAATATGATACTGTCAAGTAAAGCATAGAAACTAATCTCACTTCATAATTTTTTTCTCCAGTGTCTTATTTCTATTCCAGGATACACTCCAGTAACACAGCTTGTGTTCAGGCAATTGTTACTGCTCCTTTATCTTTTCTATTCTACAACTTTGTCTTTCTGTGTTTTTCATGATCTTGATGATAACTGCTAGGCAGTTATTTTTCAGAATGTCTCTCAGTTTGGTTTGTATAATATTTTCTCATGATTAGATTGAGGTTATTCATTTTTGGCAAGAATTCCAAGGAAATGATATAGTCTTCTCAGTATATCATATTAGAAGGGACGGGATTCTATCGTGTCTTATTGCTGGTGATGCTACCCTCAACTACTTGATAAAGTCACCTGCTGAGTTTTTTTTTTTTTATGGTGAAACCACTACTTTTCCATTTATAATTGAGAAATAATTTAGGGAAGATAATTGAGATTACGCTAATATTCTGCTTCTCCTCAAGCTTTTGCTAACTGATTTTAGTATCAGCTGCCTTCAGTAACACTTCTGTGCTGTTCACTTAATGATTATTTTGTTTTTCCCTCATTTCTTTCATACTTAATAATTGGAATTGTTATGTAAGACAAAGACGACCTTTCTTCTTCCCCATTTATTTATTCAGTTGCTTACTTATTTCATTGTGGACTCATGTATATTAATTTTATTCTATGGTTTTAATCCTATATGAGTACTATTGTTGCTGTTGTTGTTATTTTGTTGCTTACATTTTTCTACCTTTGGCCATTAAGAGTTCCTTCGTGCTGACTCCTGTACCCTTGTGACATGGACCCGTTCTTTTATAAGCATTTCCTTATTTTCTAGAACTAAAGCTTTTCCAGGTTTATATTTCCCCTACCCCAGTCCTGGAATCAGCCTCTTCTCTAATGAGGCTTTGTTCCTTTCGTTAGTGAATAGCATTTAGAAATCAAGATTTAGGAGCTGTGGGTGTTCATTGCTGCTGAAGTTTCATTGCCCCGGGCCCACATACAGTTCTAGAGACGTGTGTATTTACTGATCTGGATATGCACACATCTCTCTCTCTCTCTCTCTCTGTGTCTAGCTTGTCCTATTATACATGTGTGTAAACCATTACTTCAAACTGACACCTCTGATTTCAGTACAACACTGTAAGATCCATTGCATACTGATTCTTTTCTGTTTTCTCTGAAAATGAGAAACCTGGCTCTCATCTCCAATATATTCTTTTCTTTTTCACCCCTAGTATATATACACAAAGTAGTTTCAAAACTACTTTCGTTAACCCACATTCTATAAGTTACAGGTCTACTAACTGGAGAACAGTATTTGTGTACAGTTCTTTTGGTCTTCATCATTACAATATCCAGTCAAAAGACTGTTGTCCAAATTTCCTTAGGTTACTTCTGTTCTCCACATCCCTTTCAGTGTGATTATGTTTGAACAAAGCTAGTGGAGGTGATGGAATTCCAGTTGAGCTATTTCAAATCCTAAAAGATGATGTTGTGATAGTGCTGCACTCAATATGTCAGCAAATTTGGAAAACTCAGCAGTGGCCACAGGACTGGAAAAGGTCAATTTTCATTCCAATCCCTAAGAAAGGCAATGCCAAAGAATGGTCAAACTACCGCACAATTGCCCTCATCTCACATGCTAGTAAAGTAATGCTCAAAATTCTCCAAGCCAGGCTTCAGCAATACGTGAACTGCCAGATGTTCAAGCTGGTTTTAGAAAAGGCAGAAGAACCAGAGATCAAATTGCCATCATCTGCTGGATCATTGAAAAAGCGAGAGAGTTCCAGAAAAACATCTATTTCTGCTTTATTGTTATGCCAAAGCCTTTGACTGTGTGGATCACAATAAACTGTGGAAAATTCTGAAAGAGATGGGAATACCAGACCACCTGACCTGCCTCTTGAGAAATCTGTATGCAGGTCAGGAAGCAACAGTTAGAACTGGACATGGAACAACAGACTGNCTCCAATACTTTGGCCACCTGATGTGAAGAACTGACTCATTTGAAAAGACCCTGATGCTGGGAAAGATTGAAGGCAGGAGGAGAAGGGGATGACAGAGGATGAGATGGTTGGATGGCATCACCAACTCAGTGGTGAGTTTGGGTAAACTTCGGGAGTTGATGATGGACAGGTAGGCCTGGCATGCTGTGGTTCATGGGGTCGCAGAGAGTCGGACACGCCTGAGCGACTGAACTGAACTGATGTTATTAATTTGTAATAGAGTTATGCTTCCCTGGTGGCTCAGCTGGTAAAGAATTCGCCTGCAGTGTGGGAGACCTGGGTTCGATTCCTGGATTGGAAAGATCCCCTGGAGAAGGGAACGGCAATCCTCTCCAGTATTCTGGCCTGGAGAATTCCATGGACTGTATAGTCCACGGGGTCACAAAGCGTCGGACATGACTGAGCGAGTTTTACTTCACTAATAGAGTTATATTCCACTTTGGGTAACCACCACACACACACCCTAGTTGACTTTTTTGTTTTAGAGAATGAGACATTACTATGGTTTTGGGTAAAAGTTATTCTTAGAGAAGTGGCATTTCCTCCTCATCCCTACTTCTGCATAGCCATTCCCCTTCCTTTCACTTCTTTTCTCACCTCTGGTTCACCAGTCTCTCCAGTTTCTGTTTATCTTTCCTATATTTCTTTTGCAAGAAAGAGCAGGTATATTTTCATATACCACCTTCTTCCTTACATGAGGGTAGCATTCTAGTTATATACCAATTGTACTTTACCATTTTCATTTTACATTATGCCCTGGAAATCACTCAAATCAATTCACAGAGATCTTCCTCATTCATTTTCACAGCTACATACTATTCCATTGTCTGGATGTGCCAGAGTTTATTCAACCACTCTTTTATGAATGAGCAGTTAACTTGTTTCTAGAATTTTTCAAACAGGAAACAATGATGCCATTAATAACTGTGTATAAGTACTTTCATATTATTGGAAGTGCATCTTCTGGGTAAATATTTAGAAGTATGATTGCTGGATCAAAACATAAGTGTATATTTTGTTTTGTTAGGCATTGACATATTTCCCTTCAAAAGGGTTGCACCACTCCTTTTAGATTTAGCCTTTTCTAACCTGTGGAAATTCAAGAAGTCTGTGTTTGGCAGTACTAAAACCAGCTTTATGAATGATATCCAGATAATTCTGAAAAAAAGAATAATTCAATTATTTACTTCTCTGTCTTTATGCATTAAATTAATTCATTTACTCCACAAGTGCATAATTGAATGCTTTTTGTAAAATAGGAACTCTGGAAAAATACAAAATTAAAGAAAACTATATTCTAGCTCTTAAATAATTTACATTTTAATGAGTTGATAGTGCAGTGAGTCAGGATGAAGCTCAGTCAGGTGTGCTAACTTCACACCAAACAGAGATTCTAAGCACTGCGATGTGTAAAAAAACAATCTTAAATTTCTTATAGAAGATTGAACATTGTCTCCAGGTCAGTCTAACATCATCCTAATGGGGTGTTTCTCTTTTTCCTTCTCTTGCTCAATGAGTTTTTCATGGAAAGCTGAACAAAGCCTTATTTAACAGAATAGTTAGAGTTTTCCAAATCATTCTGACTTCTGTTTTACTGATATAACAATAGTGTCCTTCTTTGTTCTGGTGTGTATTCATTGACAGGGCGAACATGTCTGCTCTTCTCGTTCTGATGTATATTCGTTGAGTAGAATGTGGAACAAAATTGTTTTTACTAATTAATGGCTTGGAGAAAAATGAAGTAGAGCCTGGTTCGATTCCTGAGTCAGGGAAGATCCACTGGAGAAGGAATAGGCTACCCACTCCAGTATTCTTGGGCTTCCATTGTGGCTCAGCTGGTTAAAGAATCTGCCTACAATGCGGGAGACCTGGGCTTGATCTCTGGGTTGGTAAGACCCCTTGGAGAAAAGAAATGCTACCCACTCCAATATTCTGGCCTGGAGAATTCCATGGACTACAGTCCATGGGGTCTCAGAGTCCAACATGACTGAGTGACTTTCACTTTTGGTATGAAATTATTATATATTATAATATTATATCATGTATATATTAATATAGTATATTATTATATTATATATTATAATATTATATATAATATTTGCTCACAAAATAATTGACTGTGGGATAGAAGGAGTTTGTGAAAACTCTTTGGTTCCCTCCCTCTTACTGTTTATTTTTGTTCTTTAAAATTTAAGAACTTATATCTCAAACATATTTTCAAGAATTTTTCTTTAATGTTTATATTTGTTTTGTCCCTCATTTAGATTTTTTCCTTACATGATAGATTTGTTTAGTACTTGGGTTCTAGCTTGATTTACAGAATAACAAATACACTCTTCAAGTTTTACTGAAGAAAACCCTACCATTCTGTTTATTTTCCACTAGTTTACATAAAAAGGGAAATGTTAGTATTTAATAAGACTTGTGTGACTGATGAATAGATTCATCACTACTTTCCATGAGTTTTTCTCCATTGAGGGGGCATTTGTGTGATTCATCCTTTCTGGTCTCTGGAATTCTTCAGTCTCTTTGGGTCTCTCTGTTGCCCATCCTACAATCTTAGATTATTAAGTTTATTGTACATTTCATAGGATTTTGCAAAGTAGAGGAAGTAAAACAACATAAAACCTGTGCTTCTCAAACCCATTATGGAAGTTTTTAAGAGAGAAAATAATTTTGAAAAACATTTCTTTCTTCACAAGTTGAGCAAAAGATCTTTAGATTCTATGGTAAGCTGAATATGAAAACTTCATAGTATAATTGGAACTGGGTTGAGGTAGGAAATATAACTTATATATTCAATTGCATTTTAAAAAGAATGACATGTAAGGAAAGGGAAAAAATTTGTCTTCTACTAAATGCATTAATCTTGTGGTTATTGGCATATATTATAAATGTGTGGCCCGTAGATACTAAAATGGATGTGGAGAAAATTCTGGGAAGGATGTAAAACAGAACAGTTAAAATGAATATAAGAGATTGCAATAGGTTCTGCCATAAAAGATTAAAGAAAATATGATTTATACTTTAATCTCTTATTATTATTAATACAACAAAAAAGTATTACATATCTCATGTTCTAGGTTTTAAAGAAATAAACACCTAAGCTTGTAATCTATGGGAATTCTCCCTTTTTTTTTGTATTGTTTCTGAACTTGATGAATGAACTTCACTAGTGAAACAAAATCCCACGGGTATGTCTCAAATTATTTATAGTGACTTTTGTGCTAGCTTTTACCTTATTCTTTTGATATCTAACTAGTAAGTTTAATTACTCAAGAGTAAAGTATTTGTGGGATATTTTTGCTTCTGATAATTTAAAAATGTAAGCCATTTACAAACTCCTGAACTTTATTGTTAATAACACACCTTATTAAATCCTGCTGAGAATTATTGAACTGGAATCTAAAGAGTACTTTACTTTTTTCTAATGTGTTCAGTGGTTGTGAAGAGGATGAGGAGCAGTTGTTAATTGTATTCTGTAGAGACTGACTAAGCTGGGCCTACCATACTAGTCCATTTTCCCGAGACTTAGGAAGTCATACTTCTCGTAGATGGGAATCATTGAAATGAATAAGTGAGGACAACTGTAGGCAGATGGATCCTGAATGCTTTTCGGTTGTCAGTGCCCCAAAGTAGGGAACTGAACCCCACAATCACTTTCCGCTTTACTCTTTCTTGGCTTTCTTTTGTCTTTAAAATGTATTCTGCAAATTATGCTCTACATTCACCACCTACATTTTTTACCCCCTTTGAACAAATAACTTGGATTGTGAAAGACTATTTATGTATATGTATCATCTTCTTCCTTTGTTTTTCATGTCAGTCCATGTACAGAGGATCACCGGTTAGTACAAATTTTAGAATTTTTAACTCCTGACTTTTATAGGTAAAAGAGAACATAAGTTTCATGCTATTTGGTAACAAACTTCAAAGTAAGTGCATCTTCTTAAAATACCCCTCACAGTTTCTTTTACATTATAGTCAACCTCTGAATGTAAAGAATAACCCTTTTTTTTTTTTTTCTGTTTGGCATTTTGTTAGTAATTCCTTGCATGATGTCGTATTTTTTTTAAACTTCAAACTAGTTTTTGAAATTCATTCTGTAGTTGTGTTGATTGTGTGCACCTAATGAATGCCCCTGGAATTTCCACTGAAACCAAGCGCTTGTTTGTTTTTTATGGCTCATCTTACTTACTCTTGTGTAGCACTGCACAGGCATGACCAGATGTTATTGATGTCTAATAAAGTGCTGCTTATTGCATAATGAAATGGTCTGTAATCTTCTAGTACATTACTAGTACAGTTTTTCTTTTTGAACAGATTAAACTAGTCAACATTAACTCCACTGATATAGCTGATGGTCGACCCTCCATTGTTCTGGGATTGATGTGGACCATTATCCTGTATTTCCAGGTATTGTACTTCCGCTCCCTTTTCAGTTGATATAATGTCATGGATGGAGATACTGGTGGACATTTCCATAATGAAGATACCTTCATCTTCCATATTTCTGTAGTTAATCCTCAAGTTAGCAGAAATGTGACCTTCACATGTATATTATTTTTTTGTGAGCAGGAAAAGGTCCTTTCTCCTCTGTTAAAATGTTGTATATGGAAGTCCCCAAAGAACTCTGGCCTAGATACCCAATCTGAAAAGTGGTCAGGACATGATGGAGATGAAATGTTGGTGTAGAAAGACTTCAGGAAATTTTACTTGGTCCTCTGGAAGGAAGAGGTTCTATACTCCTTTTAAATATTAAGGGGAGAAATTAACTTGCTAATCTAGCCAGGATAATTCTTTTAGCCAATAGGTTAGTTTTTAAAGAAAAATACTTTATTTTTTAGAGTAGTTTTAGGTTCACAAACAGAGAAGGCAATGGCACCCCACTCCAGTACTCTTGCCTGGAAAATCCCATGGACAGAGGAGCCTGGTGTAGGCTACAGTCCATGGAGGCTCAANGCAGTCCTTGAGGTCGCTAAGAGTCGGACACGACTGAGCGACTTCACTTTCACTTTTCACTTTCATGCATTGGAGAGGGCAATGGCAACCCACTCCAGTATTCTTGCCTGGAGAATCCCAGGGACGGGGGAGCCTGGTGGGCTGCCATCTGTGGTGTCACAGAGACGGACACGACTGAAGTGACTTAGCAGCAGCAGCAGGTTCACAAAAAATTGAGCAAAGAAGACAGAGATTTCCCTTGTACCCCCTGCACCCACAACATGCATCGATAGCCTCCCCCTTAACAAGCACCCCGCTTCAGAGTGGTATAATACTTTGGTTACAATTAATGAACCTCTGTGGACACATCACTATCATTTCAAGGTTCATAGTTTACATGAGGGTTCTCAGACGGTTAAGTGTCTGCCTACAATGCGGGAGACCCAGGTTCGATCCCTGGGTCGGGAAGATCCCCTGGAGAAGGAAATGGCACCCGACTCCAGTATTCTTGCCTGTAAAATCCCATGGACTGAGGATCCTGGTGTAGGCTACAGTCCATGGAGTCGCAGAGAGTCGGACACGACTGAGCGACTTCACTTTCGCTTTCATTGTTGCTTTTCGATGTTGTGCTAGTTTTGCTGCACACTGAAGCGAATCAGCCATGGGTAGACATATGTCCCCTCCCTTTTGGGCGTCCCTCTCACTCCCATATCCCGCTCTCTCAGGTCATCACAGAGCATGGAACTGGTCTCCCTGCACGATACAGCAGCTTCCCAGCAGCTAGCTATTTGGCACTTAACAGTGCATATATGTCAGTCTAAGACAACAGGGTTCAGTCTTGATGCGTACATCCTATGAGTTTGGAAAACCATTAGGTTTTGTTTTTATTCATTCATGCATGTATTTGACAAGTGTTCATTACTGGATCCAAGGTCCCATTTTAGATGTGGTAGAAAGTAAACAGAGGAGTAAGACATCAGTCATGTCTTTTAAGAGCCTGCATGGTCAGTGGGTGTTAAGGGTGTTAAGATCAATCAAGCTGGAAAAAGAAAACATCTGATGAGAGAACGGGGATAATGCTGATGTTTTTGCTGACTTGATGCACACGCAGATCGAGGAGTTGACCAGCAACCTGCCTCAGCTGCAGGCTCTGTCCAGCAGCACGTCCTCCGTGGACAGCATGGTCAGCTCTGAGACCGCCAGCCCCCCGAGCAAACGGAAGGTGGCCACCAAGATCCAAGGAAACGCTAAGAAGGCGCTACTGAAGTGGGTCCAGTACACAGTCACCCAGTAAGTTCCTAGCAGGAGTTTGTTCAAAGAAACCCTTGAAAAATTGAAGTTCGTTTGTGACTGAGTACTCATTGCAGTGGCTGCAGAATTTGTGGAGACATATGAGTGAATGGCTTTGCTGCAGGTCTCCTTTCACTCTTGTCTTGAGTTAAAATGTAGACAGAAAGCACCCCTGATACTCTAGAAAAATCCTCTAATAAAACTAATTCCTTCTTCACTCGTGTGATGGGACCCGATTAAGTTGTTTAATCCCTGCACTCTGATTAGCATGAGGACTAATTCTGTTTAGGTCATTGTTTGGATTTTCTGCTGCTATTAAATAATCTTTCCACAAATAAATTAATGGTTTAAACGTGATTATCTCTTCGTGAGACTACTACGTGCTATTCAATAATATTATGAACTAAGATCCACATTCTGAAATAATTGTAATTTGTTTTTATGTCTTGAAACTTGCCAGCAATTTTATTTTTCAGTGTTTCCTTTGATCTCATCTTTTGTCTGGAATGTAGATTATTTTGTCAACTCCAGCTTATAGACTGGGAATTTGCTTCTAGTTTTGTTTGCCTCAGAGCATAATAAATTTACATGTGTGTGCATATATGTGATAATGTTGTTATTGTTTAGTCAGTAAGTTATGTCCAACTCTTTGGTGACCCCATGGACTATAGCCCGCCAGCCTTCTCTGTCCATGGGATTTCACTGGTGTGAAAGAATACTGGCGTGAGTAGCTATTTCCTTCTCCAGGGATTAAACCTGCATCTTCTGCATTGCAGGAAGATTCTTTTCTGCTGAGCTAGCAGGAAGGCCATATCCATTAATACTGGATATAAAATTCCTACACTCACAAAGTACTTTCTCATAGCAGTTTCAGTAGAGTTTTCAATTGATCATACCAACATTTTGCAGTCAGATGTGGTCAGTAATAAGATCTATTCACATAGAAGTTGTGTTTTTGCAAGATTTCCCTAATGAAATGTAAAGTTGACTCACTTTCTATTTTGCTTTGCATGCCTAAATCTAATCTGAATTTAATGCTCTACTTCTGGAAAATAGTTGTAAACAAGTACTTATCATTATGAAACACTGAGGCACTAAACATAGGCAGTTCTATTTTTAAAGTGTTTGAAGAGCAAAAATAAGGAGCGGAAAAAAATAAACATAGAGAAGATATAATTAGTGTTACTAATTTATATAGTTTTGTTTAACTTTTCAAGTGTGTTGGTTGTTTTCTAATTGGGGGTATATTTTGATGATTCAAGTTGCAATCAAAAATATTTCTGAAAGCAAAGCTTTGTGGCTCTTGGGACTCTAGGAGGGATGAAATGGAAAGCCCTTCCTACATTGCTGGCATGCTCTTTACATTCCATCCACAGTGGGCATCACTGATCTATTTTAAGTTTAATGGAGCAGGGAAAAGAAACATGCTGGGTAGGAGAGGATGTTGATCACATATATGCTGTGACATATATCACCATGCTATCACTATAAAACTTTGTAGTGATGTCAGTATGATAGTCTGTGTCTGTTGATCCACATGGCATTTAATTATGCAAGCTGAGTGTGCACTGGTAAAACAAGATTTTAAGTGGACTTTAAAGTTTGCAGAGAAAAAAATTTAAGGGCATTTACCAACTTTTTATATTAATCAATGTTTCAGTAAGATATGTGGTGTTTTATAGTTTGTGGAAATTTTGAGAATATAGAGAAAAAATAATAAAAAAATATTTGAGAGTAGTAAATTAAAAAAAAAAATGAGTGGTATTATTTCTGCTTTATTTAGAAGCAGCTATAATGAGACTAATTTTCTAAAAAGAAATTACCAGAGTATTTATCTACTGAATGTTACCTAATTCACTGATCACTTTTAAAAGCTCTAGACTTAATAAAAAATGTTGTTCAAAGACATATTTGAAACACTTTTGAAACTGCCTTTATAGTTGATAAGTTACATATAGAAAAAAAGTTATTCATTGTGAGCTTGCCTCCCTTCTGTTTTCAACAACAAAAGATTACCACCAACTTGAATCTCTTCTTAATTGTAATAACTGATTTTGAATTAAATTCACTATGAAAGAGCAAAGACTTGTCACCAGTGCTTTGCCCTCAAGGCAATTCTAAAAAGAATTTAAAAAGCAATTTGATCAAACAGTTTGATTGGTAGGGTAAATTAATCTTGCCAGTACTTGTGTGGGATATAGGCTTTTTTGTGACTAATTTAGAGAGATGACACATCCATCTGCATTTTGTTCCTTCTACCACATTTGATGTGGTTCAGCTACATTATATTTGTCTGATATGATCTGTGCGTATAAACACAGGCTGCTTGTCATTGTCATTAGAAATGTGGTAGAGGCATCTTAAAAAAATACACAGAGGTGAAATATTATCAATTGCAGTGTTTTTAAAATATTCCTTTTTTTACTTTGTTAGGTATTTTTTTCTCTCAGTTGAAAAATGTGCTTTACATTGAGTCTTTTTTTTCCATTTATTTTTATTAGTTGGAGGCTAATTACTTTACAATATTGTAGTGGTTTTTGCCATACATCAACATGAATCAGCCATGGATTTACATGTGGTCCCCATCCTGATCCCCCCTCTCACCTCCCTCCCGATCCCATCCCTCTGGGTCTTCCCAGTGCACCAGCCCTGAGCACTTGTCTCATGCATCCAACCTGGGCTTGTGATCTGTTTCACCCTTGACAGTATACTTGTTTCAATGCTGTTCTCTCTAAACATCCCACCCTCGCCTTCTCCCACAGAGTCTAAAAGTCTGTTCTGTACATCTGTGTCTCTTTTTCTGTTTTGCATATAGGGTTATCGTTACCATCTTTCTAAATTCCATATATATGTGTTAGTATACTGTAATGTTCTTTATCTTTCTGGCTTACTTCACTCTGTATAATGGGCTCCAGTTTCATCCATCTCATTAGAACTGATTCAAATGAATTCTTTTTAATGGCTGAGTAATATTCCATGGTGTATATGTACCACAGCTTCCTCATCCATTCGTCTGCTGATGGGCATCTAGGTTGCTTCCATGTCCTGGCTATTATAAACAGTGCTGCGATGAACATTGGGGTGCACGTGTCTCTTTCAGATCTGGTTTCCTTGGTGTGTATGCCCAGAAGTGGGATTGCTGGGTCATATGGCAGTTCTATTTCCAGCTTTTTAAGAAATCTCCACACTGTTTTCCATAGTGGCTGTACTAATTTGCATTCCCACCAACAGTGTAAGAGGGTTCCCTTTTCTCCACACCCTCTCCAGCATTTATTGCTTGTAGACTTTTGGATAGCAGCCATCCTGACTGGCGTATAATGGTACCTCATTGTGGTTTTGATTTGCATTTCTCTGATAATGAGTGATGTTGAGCATCTTTTCATGTGTTTGTTAGCCATCTGTATGTCTTCCTTGGAGAAATGTCTGTTTAGTTCTTTGGCCCATTTTTTGATTGGGTCATTTATTTTTCTGGAGTTGAGCTGGAGGAGTTGCTTGTATATTTTTGAGATTAATCCTTTGTCTGTTGCTTCATTTGCTATTATTTTCTCCCAATCTGAGGGCTGTCTTTTCACCTTGCTTATAGTTTCCTTTGTTGTGCAAAAGCTTTTAAGTTTCATTAGGCCCCATTTGTTTATTTTTGCTTTTATTTCCAATATTTTGGGAGGTGGGTCATGGAGGATCTTGCTGTGATTTATGTCGGAGAGTGTTTGGCCTATGTTCTCCTCTAGGAGTTTTATAGTTTCTGGTCTTACATTTAGATCTTTAACCCATTTTGAGTTTATTTTTGTGTATGGTGTTAGAAAGTGAGTCTTTCAAATGCCTGAAAGCTCTCATCCAGAAAACTCTTAAGTATGGAACCAGAATTTCTATGTCTTTTCTTGTTTCCGGTGCGGCAGTCCATGGGGTTGCAAAGAGTTGGACATGTTAGTGACTGAACACACACACACACATCTTGTTACCTGCCAAAAATTTGGATTATTTTTTCTCAAAATCAGTTAACTGATATAGAGCTATATCAGAAATCAGAAAACTCTTAAATATGGAACCAGAATTTCCTGCTAAAAATTTTGTTTTGCTTATTTTTCCTCAAGACCAATTAACTGCTATAGCTGACCACACATCACCCCTTGTGGAGGAGGTTGGATTGTGTCTTTGAGGAAGCGTGCATTACCTGTTTAGAAAGTGACATTATCATTTTTTTTTTTTTTAAAGGCAGAGTGGAATAGAAGTAAAAGACTTCGGCCGGAGTTGGAGAAGTGGTGTGGCCTTTCATTCTGTCATCCACGCTATTCGGCCGGAACTGGTGGACTTGGAGAAGGTGAAAGGAAGGCCTAACCGAGAAAACCTGGAGGAGGCTTTCTCCATTGCAGAAACAGAACTGGGGATCCCACGGCTCCTGGACCCTGAAGGCATGTAGACTGATTCTGGCGCTTGTGTCCCTCAACTCAGGAGGGCTATATCTTAAACCCAGAAACTACAGATGCGTCCGAGAGCTCAGAAAACTTAAGTATCTTCCTGCACAAATTTTCTTTTGGAGAAATATGTGCCGCTATGTTATTGTGTTCAACTCTTTGCGACCCCATGGACTATAGCCCACCAGGCTCCTCTGTCCATGGGATTTCCCCGGCATTAATACTGGAGTGGGTTGCCATTCCCTTCTCCAGGGGATCTTCCTGACCCAGGGATCGAACTGAGATCTCCTGTGTTGGCAGGTGGATTCTTTACCACTGAGCCACCAGGATGGCTGTTTAATGAGATTTCAGAATGAATATTCCTAGCTCTCAAAACACTGTCTGCCTGATTGGCTTCCACGTGATGATGGCCAGCATGGAGCTCCCTTGCCCTTTTAGTGGCCCTGTTTCCCCTCCTTGCCTGGTCTCCTCCCCAATTTCACCAGGGTGGCCAAGGGCTTTCCACCTTCTTTCTGTACCCCCCACCCCGACACACATGCATAAGCCACTAGTATCCAGGACACACCTCAGTTCAAGGGGAAAGACCACAAACATCCTAGCCCTCAGCTTCAGAGAAGACATCAGAGCTGAACTTTTTCCAAAAGGAGACTAGGAGAAGGTTATAAATGGTTCTTTCATTTTCACTAGACCAGAGGATCATACTGTTTTCTTTGATGATCAGAAATTGAGTTTGCCCAAATGCAAGCCTAACCCAGATATAAAGTAATTATTTTCCTAATAAGAACTACCCACCTCCCAAATTTTTAGCCAATTTGAATGTATAAACTTGTAGGAATACAGATTAAATAGACCAAATATCAATATCAATCAATAACAATTGTTTTATGATTTAGTCCCGTGTATACTAAAAGCAGGTACTGTAGTAAATCATGTATTAAATGTTGTTTTCTTTCCACTTTTACAGTTTATGGACGTTTTACTCTTCACATGCATTCTCCACATCAGTGATCTTATTATTTCTAAAATCCCCTTTGAATCATCTCATGAATTCCAGAATACATTATCTTTGTTTCTTTTTAAGTCTTTTGAGTTGTACCGCTTCTTAAATCCTATACTGATAATCCCTATAAATTATATTTCAAATCACAAAAAACAATACAAAATATTAGGGCAGTTTTATATTTTTATTTTCATGGTCTCTGTTCAGTATTTTTGTTGTTGTTGATGCTCTATAAGTGTATTTGTAATCTCCAAATACAACCTCTTTGAAGATATTTAAGACTTGTTTAAACATTCAACACTTTTTTAATGTATCCAGTCTTACCCTGATTTTGTAATTATTAAATTTGTATAAATATCCTTGCTTAATTTTTACTGATTTTTTAGATAAACATCTATATACTTAAAAATGACAGTGATTGAGATCTTTTCAGCTCTCAAATTAAGTACTTAAAGAGTACTTAATTGTTCAACATACAGTGGCTTAGACAGAAGGCTTCACAATGGAGAAGCTGTGTAAGGACTTGGACATAAGGCATCTCCTTCCTTTCTGAAATAAATTAATAGGTGACCATATATAGTATACAAACTATATAGTCATTTATCATTCCATGCTGTGCCTGTAACTTGTTTTACTACCTGTTTACTCTGATTCTGTAATGTACATATTATTGGTATTTTAGTAACTAGACAAAATGTATGAATAATTACATATATATCTCATATTTCTGATGAGTGTTGAAATTATTTAAATGAAACACATACTACTTTCCTAACAGCTCTTGGATAAAATGTGTCAGGTTTCTGAGTCATAAAATTTCCACTGTATATTATCCAGACTAAACTGGTTTTCCCTCTCTCCATCTCTAAATAGTATTCTGCTTTTCTTCTGCATTTAGGACACTGTCTTTTGGTATATTAGCTAGATTTCAAAGTTTGTATTATTAAAATCTTTTAAAATGCTTATTAATTTCTCATGTTTGGGTTTGGTTTTTTCAGATGTTGATGTGGATAAACCAGATGAGAAGTCTATTATGACCTATGTAGCCCAGTTTCTGAAGCAGTATCCTGACATCCACAGTACAGGCTCTGATGGGCAAGAGAATGATGTAAGTATTTGTTTTTCTTTGAACATTGATAACACATTCAGTGACAGTGAGTCAGAGTTTTAATTATGCTGTGTTCAAAAAATTAAACCGAATGCCTGTTAATATGAGAGCAAGTGAATGAAGACCAATATCACCCACACTTGGGAGGAAATTAGAGGGAAAATTTTCTGTGATATGTTGGCTGTATCAGAGAAAGCATTGTTAATAATAACTGCTGGATGTATAATTTGTATAATATGAATTGAAATCTAGGAAAGATAAGAGTGTTGAGAAACTTTATTTTAGCAATTTGACCACTGAATTAATTTTATATCATCATATTATTTATGCATTTACATCCTGAGTTTCCTTCTTCTGTTCAATCTGATAAAATCCAATTTTGACTTTTAGATTTATTATGTAAGTTGCTTGGAGAAGGGAATGGCAACCCACTCCAGTGTTCTTACCTGGAGAGTTCCATGGGCAGAGTAGCCTGGTGGGCTACAGTCCGTGGAATCGCAGTCAGACACGACTTAGTGACTAAACCACGACCGTCGTGTAAGTTGCTACTCATTGTAAACAAACAAAAGCGAGGCAGACTTATGAAAGTTCTAATTATTCACTGTGCTGAGGTTTTTCAGCCAGTCAGTAGTTTAAATAACATATTTTTCATACTACTCAAATGACACATGTTTGTTACCATAAATAAAGAAAAACAAAAATTGGGGGGAAAAAGGAAAAGAAAATTATTTGTACTTAACCTTCTGTAGAGACTCTATTCTTAAAAAAATTAATACTTTGGTGTGAGTTCCCTGTAAATGTAGACACATAAAATATTTTAACAAAAATAGAATCGTGGGGCTTTCCTAGTAGCTCAGTGATGAAGAATCTTCCAGCCAATGCAAGAGACACAGGTTCAACCCCTGGTCTGAGAAGATCCCACATGTGATTTCCATGTGTTTACAGTGAGTAGCAACTTACATGGTGGTGGTAAGCCCATGTGCCACAACTATTGAGTCTGAGCTGTGGAGTCTGGGAAATGAAAACTTCTGAGCCCTCATACCACAGCTACTGAAGCTGGGGCTCTCTAGAGCCTGCGCTCCGCAACAAAAGTCACCACAATGAGAAGCCCACACATCGCAGCTAGAGAGCAGTCCCTGCTCTCCACAACTAAAGAAAAGCCCGCACGCCAACAGCGACCCAGTACAGTCACAAAGAATAAATAAATAAATAAAAGTTTAGAACATAGAATCATAGGATACATATAGTTTTATTTTTTTCTGCTATTCAAAACCTTTCTCATGCCATTCTCTCTAGAACTTCATAAAGATGGAGGGTAATTTATCCAATATCAGTTGTTGAAAATTTCTGATTTTTTGCTGTTATAAAAGTACTTCCATGAACAATTGTGTAATAAGAATTGTTCTACAACTCTTTCTAAAGAGGAATTCCTAGACTAAAGCGCATGCAGAGCTTTAAAAGAAAATTATTTGTACTTAACCTTCTGTAGAGACTCTATTCTTAAAAAAATTAATACTTTGGTGTGAGTTCCCTGTAAATGTAGACACATAAAATATTTTAACAAAAATAGAATCGTGGGGCTTTCCTAGTAGCTCAGTGATGAAGAATCTTCCAGCCAATGCAAGAGACACAGGTTCAACCCCTGGTCTGAGAAGATCCCACATGTGATTTCCATGTGTTTACAGTGAGTAGCAACTTACATGGTGGTGGTAAGCCCATGTGCCACAACTATTGAGTCTGAGCTGTGGAGTCTGGGAAATGAAAACTTCTGAGCCCTCATACCACAGCTACTGAAGCTGGGGCTCTCTAGAGCCTGCGCTCCGCAACAAAAGTCACCACAATGAGAAGCCCACACATCGCAGCTAGAGAGCAGTCCCTGCTCTCCACAACTAAAGAAAAGCCCGCACGCCAACAGCGACCCAGTACAGTCACAAAGAATAAATAAATAAATAAAAGTTTAGAACATAGAATCATAGGATACATATAGTTTTATTTTTTTCTGCTATTCAAAACCTTTCTCATGCCATTCTCTCTAGAACTTCATAAAGATGGACGGTAATTTATCCAATATCAGTTGTTGAAAATTTCTGATTTTTTGCTGTTATAAAAGTACTTCCATGAACAATTGTGTAATAAGAATTGTTCTACAACTCTTTCTAAAGAGGAATTCCTAGACTAAAGCGCATGCAGAGCTTTGTCAAATCCTCTCAGGAGGATGTCTCATTTTACACTCTAGCCAGCACACCAGAATGCCTATATTCTCTCTTTAACAACAATGGATAATATATTCTCCTATTTTTTAAAAGTACCCTATTAGGTTTGGGGGTTTTTATTCGTTTTTTAGAGAGAGAGGTGGATTTACTACTGAATTTAAAATTAATTATTAGGCAAAATGACATCAGGGAAAGTAATAAACGGATGTTCAAGACATGTTAAAAACAATCTGTCTTTACCATTCAGGTCTCAACTAGAGTTTACTGTTCAGGTCTTAACTAGGGTTTTCAGACAGGTTTGAGATTATAATGAAGAGAAACAAGAAAAACAAACAAACAAAAAATGCACTGTGTTTCTTAGAAACAGATCTAAGGAAGGAAAAGATCAGAGGAACATAACCCAAAGTTTTCAAGTAGGAAAAGGTTTTGCAGGAATAGAAATCTTTGTAAAAGAATTAAATGAAACAGCAGTAACTGGTGTTTCCTAGGTCACTTGGATGAAGTTAATCTGGTATTTGATAGAACTATGTTAGTTATTTTAAAAACTGTGGTTTCAAGAAACCGTTTCTTTGTTCGTTGCCAAGCTTGGAAGGAACAAATATTGATCACCAGAGTAACTTATTCTACAACAGGCAAACTAATGTTCCTAAGAAGCACCACTGAACACGAAAGACTGTCTTTGCAAACTCCAGTGTGGACTGAGTCATGTGCGTGGGATTCATTTGGTGTTTTCTGGGTTTTGAGAATGTGATTTGGCATGGACGGTGCTCTGTGAATAAGAAACTCTGTACAGAGGTCTACTAGAACTCCCTCATAGGGCACAGAGAAAATCAGTTTTCCCTGATTGTCATATCTAAAGTTCTTATATTGGCCAATTGGATTTATTTCTGACCTGATGTCTAAGCTTGTACTGTTTTAATTTCTCTGACATTAGTCATCTCTCCAGATCAGTAAACACAGTGGCTGGTAATGTCTGAGAAATAAAGGGAGATACTTATGTTAATGCTCATGAGCAAGGATTTAATGTAAAAATCCTCAGAGATTTGAAATACACTCCTGCTTTAAACTTGTTAATACACTTGACTAAAGAGCTTTATTGTTAAGCAATTAATCACATTCTCTAGAAGATAAGTTCTGATTTTTCTTTTAAAAACTTCCATCTCTTTCCTAAAAGAAGGATGCTTCAGGAGAGTTTCAAAAAATAATTTTGAGGAAAGCGTGTTATAAGTGTTACCCTTTTTTAAATGATGGGTAGAATATGAACATCTAAATATGAATATTTTAAATAGAAAAAAGATTTTTTATTTTTTATGATGTATGACTTATTTTTGTTTGATGCAACTTAATGGCCCTCTCATTCTGTCTAATGAAACTTGAAGATTTTATAGACTATACACATTAGGGTTGGTGTCATTCCCTTGAAGTCCTCATTACTTTTGTACTCAAGTTTTAGTAAATAGTTTTAAAAATTCATTTTAAAAAATACTGGCATCAACATATCTATCAGGCTTTCATTTTTCCTTCTTTTTGATTCTTATATCCCCTTTATGAATTTATTTAGTTATTTTATAGATACTATTTTAAATCTGATTTTATGATTGGAAATAGTGCCATGTTTTTCTTACTTCAGTCAGTAAAACTGATAAAGAACTTTCTCCTTAAAAGTATTCCTTGGATAATTAGTGCTAAATTATTAACAAATGCAATACACCCCCTGGTTTATCACTCTCATTTATCAAACTTTCAATTATTTATTCACTCATTCCTTCCCCAATTTCAACAAATTTTACTGACTGTTTTCAGAACCACAGCTCAGTCTTAGTTGTATAGGAATACAGAGATGTATATCATGACAGTATAGAGAAAAATATGAATCCATAGACCTTTTCTTTACATTGTTCTCCTTTCAAAATATTTACTATTTTAAGACATATGTATAATATATATAGTTACATATGACTATTAAAAATTAAAGCAAAACCATCAAATGCCAGAATTCTACATTACCTTATTTGATTCAGTTTGATACTTTCAAAAATTGTGAAAATATCTTAAAATAACTATATCCTTCAAATTGTTGCCTGTTTATTTATAGACAGATGCCTCTCCATTTTTTGTGTTTCCTATATAATTTTTGTTCATGATTTATGTTATTTTTGTATATGTTATCTTTTCATGTTGTTAGGAAATACTTCCAAGTTTCCCATCTTTTACAAATTCTATCCAAATTCTTAAGGTAAGATTTAAGTCATCTTGAATTGGTGGCTTCTTTCAAATATTCTGCATTCTATAGCTTGTTAGCCATCCCTTTGCATGTATTTGTCTTTATATACACATTTATTTTAATACCTTAATTCTGTTATTTCCTTTTCCTTTCTAGTAGAAAAATAACATATGTGTTCTTAAATATTAGTTAAAGTCTAAGCTACTCCCATGGACTTTCCCACTAATCTTTAATTATAAGATAGCATTAATTTCTTTTTAATAATAATAACACTAACAAAAGGAAAAATTAAAATAACTATTATTTATTTATGTGTGACATGGAAGATAAAAATTAAGTTAAAGCTTTATTTTTTCACTTTAATATATTAATAGGAAATAGTTAATTGAAAAAGGTAAGTGTTCAATTAGCTTGTAACCCTGAGTTTCATCACAACTCTTCTGCTCAATATTGAGTAACATGGTTTAGTAAAGTTCATAGAACAGGGTAAATGCTCAAAAAATATTTGTGGAATTCATGATTAAGAATTCTTTCCCATATCCAAGTTACTTCCGTTTTTCTACGTAGGCCTGAAGTTAAGGATTTATCAACACAATAGACTTTATGCCAACACTGGAATAAAAAATTAGAAGTAAAAATTTTTATTTCATGCTTCATGAAACATGAGTTTAAGTATATATAAGTACACTACAAAACATATAATGCATGCATTTGAGTGAGTAAGTGAGAGAGAAGAAAAAGTAGTGAGAATGCTAACAGTTTGGTTATTTGGCATTTAGACGGTCTCCAGGCAAACAGACCTCCATGTCTTTGAATGTGTGTGGAAGTTACCAGTTGAAGAAAAACCACTAAACTAAATGAGTTTTGAAATCTAAATCTAAATATTTCATTTTCCTTTAAAAGAAGAATGCTAAATATATACAGAGCTGCATCCTTCTTAACCTTGCTGCAATTTGCACTTCCACACCAGAAGAAAAAGTCATTTGTTGAACATACTCTAATAAAGTTAATAAGAACATAATTTTTTTTCTCTCAGATGATTTTGTGAAATAATTTCGATTGGTGAAGAAAAGCTTATGATGAGCCTGTCTTTGGAGAGTCAAAGCCCCATGCTCACTTTGGTGAGCTCCACCAGTGGTCATATTGAGCTCAGGTTCCTTGAAGGTAGAACAAGAGCTTTGTGTTCCTCTGAAATCAGGAGATACATCATTAGTACTGTTGTGGGCATGAAAGTCAACCAATAACAGAACATGCGCCTTGATGCCATTCCCTTATTTATTCAGAAGAGCCATCATGGGAAGTGCTGAGACTGTGGAGTCCTCCTATTCCATTTTGTCCTCTAACTATGTTACCAATCAATCATTTATTCCACACTTATCCATTGAGTGACACCAGCTGCCAGACTGCTATGTTAGTCTGGAGAAACAAAAGATACATATGTGGTTTGGAATGCTGAATGGAGGAGGGAGGAGAGACAATGAAATATGATGTATTTTGGGTGAATATTTGAGCTCAGGTTGTTGCAAGATCATAGAAAAATGTTCTCAACATGTGGTCCCTAGGCCAGCAGCACCAGGTTCACCTGGAAACTTGTAATGAATATGCATTCTCAAGATACACTAAGCCAGAAAACTGGATGGTGGGAGCAGTCATCTCTTTCACAAGCTTTCCAGGTGATTCTAGTGTTCGCTGAAGTTTGAGAACCACTGGCAAAAGAGAAACTCATAACTCAGATCTGTGGATCAGAAGAAAGCTTCCTAGAGAAGGGTGCACCTGAGCTGAGCTCTGAGGAAGTCATCACCCAGGGGAAATTATTCCAGGCAGAAGAGGCTTGTCTTTGCAACATCAGGAAGTGAAAGAGGACACGGGTCACGATAGCATGTGTGGCAGCCTCTGCTCTGGTTGTGTTGACAGAGAATCTCTAATTCTCCTCAAAACCATGTAAGGGGGGGTGGTGCCACGACTACCCAGATGATGGTACAACAGAAGAGAGGATTTTAAAAAATTGTATCTGAATCCACAGAGCTAATGCACGTCAGGACCAGAGTTTGAAACCAGTTCCGCCTGCCTCCATAGCCAGCGCTCTTTCTCTTCTGCTGTTTGACCTGGCAGGAGACAGCCACTTCAGTCTGTCATAGGGCTGTGATCATCAGATGAGATGTAATGGAAAGCTAAATGCCAAAAATCATGTGAAGTATATCTGTGGTTACTCTGGCATTCTCACCTGATAAGAAGTCTTGATGACGGTTTAGGATATTTTCACTACATTAGTGCTAGAATAGCTCTTACTATTTGTGGAAACAAGTCTGTAACTCTCCAGTTCTTTTTCATTTTTGAGATGTGAGTGGTAGCTTGTATGCATTCATTCAGTGGAAGATCTGGTAAATATCTTATAGGTTTCATGTTGCCAGGGTTTGGGAATACCATATTGAACAAGATAAATGTGCTTTCTGCCCTCATGGGACTTATGTTATAATAGTGCATAATGTTTTTAAACATAATGTACATGAGTAATCCAATGTTACTCTGACTGAAGCTCCTTTAATTCAGTCAGAATTAATCTTATCTTGATCAGTCCTCTGGGTTACCAGTGGCCTTGGGTTAAGACACAACCACAGGCCTATTTCCACTCCCATTCCAGCCACTGCTTTTTCTGAGTATTTTTGTGCTTAGCACATTTCCTCTGGAGCATATTTTCTTAATTAAATTAATGTTTCTTGAGAAGAACAATGGAGGTAGATAATTTCAGTATTCAGTATGATAATTTAAGATTTTTTATAGAATTAATTTTTGCTTCTTATTCTCCAGAAGAGGTGAGGGCAGGAAAGGAGAAAGTTTTTCAGAGACGTTTGGAGCTTATTAAATATTCAGTGTATTCTAGGATCAGTCAAGCATTAATCAGCAATTAAGTAAATGCACAGTTACTAATAAAATTGTAATGTCTTCTGGTTTCTAGAGAGAAGACAGGCTAATTTTGAAGGAGATGAAAGTTTGGATAGAACAATTTGAAAGAGATTTGACAAGGACACAGGTGACAGATTCAAGTTTGCAGGATAAATACCAGGTAATGTATGGAAGAGATATTTTACTTTTATTAAAAGCCTTTCATGAGTAAGATCCACATATATCATTTAATCTATGCTTAATCTTTCAAGTGATATTATGAGAAATGTCTTTTAAAAAAATATAGATTATCTTAAGTTTACATATAATTTAAACATTTTTCTATGTAAATAGGTAGTTTTAAAAATTTAATGCATTTATATATTGTAATATGTTTGTCACTGTAACAATAATTAGCACCTCTATCCTGTGACATTATTATCATTTATTTTTAGTAGGTGAGATGTTTAAGTTCCAGTCTCTTAGCAATTTTGATAATTGTAACACAGTACTATTGTCCATATTCACTGCACTGTGCATTTGGAATCTAGGCCTTGTATACCCTAACCCTTGCCAGTTTGTATACTTAAATATCCATCCTGTCCCCTCCACCACCACCCCCATCCCCTGGTAACCATCATTTTGCTCTCTGTTTTTTAGGAGTTTGACTTTTTAGATTCCCTATATAAGTAATATTATACAGTCTTTGTTTTTCTCTACCTTATCTTGCTTAGTATAACATCTTTAAGTTTCACCCATGTTGTCACATATGGCAGGCTGTCCTTTTTTCTCATGGCTAAATAACATGCCATTGTATATATATATATATATATATATAACCGCATGTTCTTTGCCAGTTCTTCCATTAATGAGCACTTAGATTGTTTCTATCAATTGACTGTGGTGACAATGCTGCAATAAACAAGAAAGTGCATGTATATCTCTTTGATACTTTGTTTTCATTTCCTTTGGATATACACCCAGAGCTGGAGTTGATAGTTTTAAATTGTATATGTCACATTATATAGAGTTCTGAGGCTTCATAACTTTCCCAGAACTCAGTCTTGTAGACAATCCAAAACACACATCTGGCCAATGTTTTTATATAATGCATGACCTTACAGATGTTACCTCACAAAAAATTCTACCAAAATGTGACTTCAGTGGCAAATTGAAAATTTCTATACGATAAGCTGCATTAAATAAAAATTGCAACATGAAGAGTTGGAGTAGGACCCTTAGTAAGATCAGCTTCTCCTGCCACCTGCCTCACTCAACACTACTGCATTCAGGTTGAGTCCAGTGTTGCCTCTGTGTGGTTGCTCTTTCTCCCAGTTTCATCACACTGTCGTTAATTAAATTTCAGCTTCCAGTTTCCACTTCCAAAATCCTTTAACAAGTTTTTTTTTTTTTCATTGAATTGCGACTTACTCTGTGTAGCACTGACATTTTCTCCTGCTTAAAATATCATTGCATTTTGGTGGCAAAACTATGGTATATTCTAACCTACAATACATGTTGACAATTTTTGCTACAAAAAAAAAGGGTGAATGAGGTAAGAGATGAGAAACAGCAGACGATAGAAGATTTAGCTGTTGGAATTAGTGTGTGATTTTATATAATCATATCTATAAAGTGTGCCTGAATTTAGATGGGTAGTTTCATCAGTATTATATTTGATGGACTTGGAAATGCAGTAAATATATTCTTATATGTGTGTTCTTTTTGCTTTGAAGCTCATCATAATTTTTCACTGAAAAGATAATTTTCTGGGAACATTAAAATGATTAAATCAGTAAATTGAGGCTATAAATGCAAGAACAGAATGAATGTCCTTATTTAGTCCATTAGTGAGTTTCAGTTTTAGCATAAATTATAAAAAAAATAAATTCCAAGTTATAAAGTTACCATTGTACAGAAGTTAATTTATAAGAGGAAATCTAAGTATCAGTTTAGTTCAGTTCAGTTCAGTCGCTCAGTCGTGTCCGACTCTTTGCGACCCCATAGACTGCAGCACGCCAGGCCTCTCTGTCCATCACCAACTCCTGGAGTTTACTCAAACTCATGTCCATCAAGTTGGTGATGCCATCCAGCCATCTCATCCTCTGTCGTCCCCTTCTCCTCCTGCCCCCAATCTCTCCCAGCATCAGGGTCTTTTCCAATGAGTTAGCTCTTCGCATGAGGTGGCCAAAGTATTGGAGTTTCAGCTTCAGCATCAGTCCTTCCAGTGAACACCCAGGACTGATCTTTAGGATGGACTGGTTGGATCTCCTTGCAGTCCTCAGAAAAAAAAAAAAAATCATATCAGTCTCTTAAATAGCATTAGACCACATAGGGAATATTTTCTTTCATTTGTATGTTTATTATGTAATCAGAATCTAATGTTTGTACTTATCGATCAATAGTGTATTTTCCAGTTTTTCTGTATAAAATTTAAGACTGATTATATGTTTTGGTACTTTAAAATTACGTTAAGTTATAGTGAATGGTAGGTAAAATTTGTGGTAAAATATTTATTCACCATCTCCCCCAAGTGTTCTTCATGTGAATTTACATGTTTGTATACTTAGTGATTTAGAAGTTCTTTCAGATGTGCTATCTGTTAGATTCTATGGGGGCCATTCTCATGTTCCTTAATATTTTTAACATTAAAGACATTAAATGCACATTCAGTGACATTTTCAATTCATATGTGGACTTTGAAACATATATTCAGTTCAGTTCAGTTCAGTTGCTCAGTCGTGTCCGACTCTTTGCGACCCCATGAATCACAACACGCCAGGCCTCCCTGTCCATCACCAATTAGGGTGGGTTAATGTATTGTAAAATGTAGGACTTTCATTAAAATTACTAACTTTTCTTAGGTTATATTAATGTCAGACTTAGTTAAATCTACATGTTACAAATTTATGTTAACCATACTGTGACAAAAGAAAGATATAATATTTAATATTTTGATATCATAAAATTAAAGCAAAGGGTTGTTACATAAAGTAAACCTCTTTATACAGATTTACTGAAACACAAATTAGTATACCACTAATCCTGTAAGTTTTTGATGTATGCAATTTCTATTTGTAAACTGGTACTTTAAAGTAAAACAACAATTTCGATTATGAACATAGATTTATACTCTTGTTTATTATTTCATCATGAGCAGGGACTGGCTTGTAGATTATTTATCCAGGAATGAGAAATCCTAGCCTTGAATGCTGTCTCTACTACTTGTGTGTGCCAAGTCACCTCTGGGCTTAGTAGTAATAACGGGGCTTGTCTAGATTGTAGTGTGATGGGGAGCCAGAGAGGATAATGTGCAGGAGGCACTTAGCAAGGGGCCAGGGTCATCATCAGGGCTAGATGAATGCTGGCTGGATCACCATTGTCAGTGTTATTATCAGCAACATTTATTGAACGTTATCCAAATATAAAGGATTGTTATTTAGGAAACATGGTTTCCTTTGCTTTTGCTTTTTTTGACTGACTGCCATGTTCTTGCTGTTTTTCCTCTTTTTAGTCATTTAAGCACTTCAGAGTTCAATATGAAATGAAGAGGAAACAGATTGAACACTTATTACAACCATTACATAGAGATGGTAAATTGTCACTTGACCAAGCATTGGTCAAACAGGCCTGGGATAGAGTGTCCTCCAGGGTAAGTCCTCTGATAATTCATTTCATTAGGATTTATGTAAGTTAGTCAAGAATATTGTCTATCATCTCTTTCTTCACAATGATGTTACATCAGGTCCTCACGCCTCTGTCTGTGGTTGGAAGTTTTACCAGCGGGATGGTCTTTGTCCTCTTGTCAAGTTTTCCTTGAAGTTAGTGGAAGTGCCTGTTTAACAACTGTTTCCCTGTTTTGCCTGCCTTATTGACAAGACAGCCCGCTGAAATCCTGAAAGACCACCTGGGTTACTTCTCCTTTTCTATAATTTAATCCTGGGTTGTTTAGAAGTAACTCCCCAAGAATGAGGCCTCAACTTCTCCAAATTTCATAACCAGATTTCATTAACAGTTAATTATCTTCCTGTATTCACATTTATTTTTATATTCTTTAATTTAAGCTTATCTTATCTGACCTTGAACTTGAAGGAAAATTGCTCTGTAGCTTTCATTTTAATATTTTGCAAACATTAAGTCCCAGATTTCAAAACCTCTGAAACTTCTATCCCTCATGGGAATACTTGTCTCGTACTTATTCCATTTTCATTTTTATAATCCAACTTTTCCCATTAAGCTCTATTAAAGAATAAGTTAGATCCCACCCCCCCATCATTCCAATAAGCTGTGAAGCAGTACCTGACAATCAGATAAGTGGGAGAAATGATGAAATCATTAGAGAAATACATTATTATAGAAAGAATCCTGAATTCTCATTTTCCTCCCAAGATGTCTAGATGACCCTGATTTTTCTGGACCTGTTCTTATTATGTGGGAGATTTTGAAGGAAAGTATCTGTGTTCTGAACTTTTCAAAACATTAGATTAGGACACAGATATTTTCTTACTTGGTGTTTATTAAATTAACCCCAAATTAATAACTTAGGGCATTTTGTAGCCTTTAAAATCATTTGGGGGAATTTTAGGAATTGTCCATCGTGTTAAGACACTGCCTTTCTACTTTGTATTCCAGCTCTTCGATTGGCATATACAGCTTGATAAGTCTCTTCCTGCACCTCTGGGCACCATAGGGGCCTGGTTATATAGAGCAGAAGTGGCCCTAAGAGAGGAAATAACCGTTCAGCAGGTTCACGAGGAAACAGCCAACACAATACACCGGAAACGTGAGCAACACAAGGTAAATACTCTGGCTGGAAAACCTTCCAGCCTAACGGTGCTAGTGTTACCAAATCAGGTTTGTTTGCCCACGACTCAGCGGGTCAAAACTTGAGACAAAGGTTGAGGTTTGCAGCAGAGAAAGGATTTATTCACAAGGCAGCCAGCTGAGATGAGAGAACAAATTTCAGATCCATCTCCCTGAAGGTGAGGGGTTCTGAGTATTTATGGGATCAAGCTGAGCATGGGAAAGGTCACTGGAGATAAGAAATGGGTGAAGTGATCCTCATTCTGTGCAGATGCAACTAAGCCACAGATCTTTTCATGGGCTACATATTCAGAAAATGGTGGCATTAGCGTCATCAGAGGGTGGAGTTTTGGGCCTTCTTATATCAAAAGGTTACCATGCAGACACTCACCCATGGTCAGATGGAGGGTCAGTGGGCCTAACTAGTCTTAACCAGCTGGAGCTCAAACTGGACACAGCTGACTCCAAGTTCCTAAAAGCAGCTTGGCCAACATCTTTTTGTTAAGGTTGTGTGATACTTGGAGGACCTGCAAACTTTTATTAAAGCAAACCTGATCAGTGAAGGTAGGCTGTTGTTCTTCAGTTGCTAAGTCATGTCTGACTCTTTGTGACCCCACGGTCTGCAGCACGCCAGGATTCCCTGTCCTTCATCATCTCCTGGAGCTTGCTCAAACTCATGTCCATTGAATCAGTGATGCCATCCAATCATCTTATCCTCTGTCACCCCCTTCTCTTACCCTCAATCTTTCCCAGTATCAGGGTCTTTTCCAGTGAGTTGGCTCTTTGCATTAGGTGGTCAAGGTATTGGAGCTTCAGCAGGTCACAATTTATTATTTATTAACAGCTAACTGATAATACCCTTGTTTCACTAGTATAGTCTGGAACTTGCACTGACTCAGGTCTCCCAGGCACCCATTCGTTCTGGTTCAGAGATGTCCCATTTTCCTAGAAATTCTTTGATTTGCACTTCCTTCTTCTGTACTTGTTATGACAATCCCAGTAGATTCATTTCCCGAGTTGCTTTCCAATAGTTCTGTTATTTTTTATCTGCATTTACTTTTGTTATTTCTCTTGCTATATTGTTGTCTTTGAAAATATAAAGCCATAGACAGTGTGTATTTTCATAATAGTGTGACTGGCCATTGGCTCCAGACTTCTTTTCCTCCTCCATTCCCACAGGAAGGCAAACCAAGTCACCAAGTTCTTATGTCCTAGTGCTTAAGAAGTGAGGATCAGGATGCTGGGAGGGTCACTAGTGGCCTTAGAAAGCGGTGGGATTAGGCCTTGGTGATCTCTTAGTCATTTGCGATTTTCTCATTACTTGGTTTGCTGTGCTTAGCAGAAGTTCTAATACACTTCCTCTGCGTCTTGTGATAGTACAGTCCTAACTTAAAATGCTGTTTTTTTCACTAACATCTCATTAATGCAACCCTGCATTTTGTGCAATTGAATTTGTGTATCTCATTTACTGAGTCATAGTGGGAGTTAACTGTATATGTGGAAAATAAACCAACAACCAGGTCTCACTTTGTTCTACTCTCCTGGTTAAACAAGAAAAAGTGAAAGTGTTAGTTGCTCAGTCATGTCCAACTCTTCGCACCCCCGTGGACCGTAGCCCATCAGGCTCCTCTGTCCATGGAATTCTCTGGGCAAGAATATTGGAGTGGGTTGCCATTCCCTTCTCCAGGGGATTTCCTGAGCCAGGAATTGAACCCAGGTCTCCTGCGTTGCAGGCAGATTCTTTACCATCTGAGCCACCAGGTGACTTTTTGGTTAAAGGCAGCTCTCAGCCTGGCTCCTGCCCGCGTTCATGCAGTTGACTGTGGTTGGAGATAAACGCGCCCCCAGGCATGCTGACTAACCCAAGTGGGCCCTTCGTGCTCCCCGGCACTCCAAAGGCATTTTTGGACTCTCTTCCCTCTGCATTTCTGGGACAACTATTTTATACCTTTTCTATTCAAACCTTCCAAACCTCCTCCTTCATCCTTACTCTTAGCTGATGACACTGCTTCCTATTTCTCTGAGAAAATAGAAGCAGTCAAAAAAGAATTTCCGCAAGCTCCCACGACCACATCAACCCACCTACACGCATCTGTGACCGAATACTCCGTCTCCTCTCCTGTTACTATGGATGAACCATCTGTGCTCCGAGCTAAGGCCAGCCCCTCCGCACGTATGGTGGATCCCATTCTCCCAGCTCTGTTCCAGAAGATAATGCCTGTAGTACTTTGCTTCTTTATTTTTTTCTTTCTCTTTCTCTGCTGGATTTTCCCCACCCACATAAAACATACTGTTATTATTCTTAATAGCCTCTTTCTTAACCTTACCTCTCCTTTCAGCTATTGTCCTTTTTTTTTTTTTAAGTTTATTGGGCTGTAGTTGCTTTACAATGTTGTGTTAATTTCTACTGTATAGCAAAGCGAATCTGCTATACATATGCATATATCTCCTCTTTTTTGGATTTCCTTCCCTCTTGGGTCATCACAGACCAATGGGTAGAGTTCCCTGTGCGATACAGTAGGTTCTCACTGGTTATCAATTTTATACATAGGATCAATAGCATATACATGTCAATCACAATCTCCCAATTCATCCCATTCCTTCCCTTCCCCTTGGTATCTATATGTTTGCTTTTTACATCTGTACCTGTATTTTCTGCTTTGTAGATAAGATCATCTATACCAATTTTTTCAGATTCCACATATATGCATTAATATACAGTATTTGTTCTTCTCTTTCTGGCTTTCTTCATTCTGTATGACAGTCTCTAAGTCCCTCCACATCTGTACAAATGACCCAGCTTTATTCTTTTTCATGGCAGAGGCAGAGTAATATTCCATCATCTATATGTACCACATCTTTATCTTTTCCTCTGTGGATGGACATTTAAGTTGTCTCCATATCCTGGATGATGTACATAGTGAACTACTGTCCATTTTTTTCTTTCTTTTACAAAAGTGAAGTTCTTTGGAAGAACTATCTGAAATCTCATTTTGGTTTCGTACTCCTCCCATTCTTTCTAGAACCCATTCCAATCATGTTTATCCTTGCCTGTCTATCCATGGCAGGTTCATGAGGGTGCTTTTTGTTCCTCACTCAATGACTAATTCTCAGTCCTCAGTTTACCTTTATTGGAAGCATTTTAGACAGTTATTCCTTCATCTCTGAACTACTTTACCCATTTGGTTTCTTAATTTTCTTTCTGTTCTTTCCAGTGTTTCCAGTTAGCCCACATTTGGTCCAAAATGTCCATGAGTATATTTGGTTCATGGAACAAATAGTTTTGGACAGGGCCAAATATCAAGGACCTTTTGATGTGGACCAAATATCTCCATGGACATTTTGGATAGGACCAAATACAACCAATAATCAACAACCTTTTGGCATAAACCAAATATTTTATGGTAATTTTGAACAGGACAATATGGTCCTAAAATGGTGTTTCCTTGTCTTTCAACAAATATTTATTGAGCTCTTTCTATGTGCAAAGTACTGTTCTAGGCATTTGTGATATACCCATAAGCAAAACAGACAAAACCTCTAGCCTAATATAACTTGCCTTTTCATAGGAGGAGGCAGTTAAGAAATAATAAATATAATAAATAATGACATTTTATATTAGAATAGAAGGTAGAAGGACAAGATTAAGTGGTGTTGCAATCTTAAGCAGGGGGTCAGTGAAACCACACTGAAAAGAGAACCTCAAACATGCAAGTGTGTTCCTATTCGAAGGCCTTTGCCCTTGCCAACATTTCTGCAATGTTGCCTGAAATATTTTCCAGGCATTCTTCCTCATCTCCTTGGGCCTTTACTGAAAGGTCACCTTTTAGTCAATCCTTTCTCGGCCACCTCTTTGAAAGGACAACATCCTTTCCCCTTCCCTATTCAGTTTTTCTCTTTAGCATTATCTTCATCTCAAATGCTAATTTAATTATTTATCTTATTTACTGCTTGATCTCCTACAGTGTAATCTCAACTCTGTAAGAGCAATGATTATTGTTTGCTTTTTACTCTTGTTTAAAAAAAAAAAACAGCTTCTAAAAATGGTTTTAGAAATATTCAGGCTTTCAAAATTGTAATTGGGTCAATAATGCTAATCGTACTTTCTGAGAATTTGTTCCTTTGACTAAGTTTTCAAAATTACTGACATAAGATTATTCAAAATATTCTTGTGCCTATTGTTAAGCCTCCATTTTCCCCCAGTTTTGTTTCTTTGCACTTTGTCACATTCCTTAAATGCACTTTTAGCATCCTTAATTTCCTCTGTTATATTCTAATGATCTTTTCCCATCTACTTTCTTACCAGAGGAATGACAGATTCACTCTTTTAACAGCATCATTCTGGTGCTGTGTGAGAATATGGCTGGACTGGTCATAGAGGGTAGAAGAGAAACAATTTCAATGATCTGGGTAGGGTGGCTTGAACAAAGGTCATAGCTACAGAGATGGTAAGAAATAGATTCTGAGTATATTTCAAGGGAAGAACAAAGAGTTTTTAGCATTAGATATTGATTATGAAGGAAGGGGAGTCATAAATGACACTATGATTTTCCAACCAAGCAGTTGGAAAAATGGCGTTTCCATCAGTTGAGATGGAAAGGCAATGAAGCAGATTTGGGAGGAAAGGTAGAGTTCAGTCTGGGGGAAGGTAAGTATGAGACTCTTTCACGCTCCAGCAAGTATACGGAGTGGGCAGTGGGAGATAAGAGACAGGAGGGGGCCAAATAGTCAGAGTCCTTGGTATATAAAGGGATGTTAAAAGCTTGGAGACTTAAATTAAACAAATATGTGTAGACAGAAAATTAGTCAAGAGCTGAGCCCTGAGGGAACCCAGTATTAAGTAAGCTTCAGTGCTTATAGTTATTATTGTTGTTCAGTCACCAAGTTATATCTGACTCTCTGTGACCCCATAAACTGCAGCACGGCAGGCTTCCCTGTCCTTCACCATCTCCCAGAGTTTGTTCAAACTCGTGTCCATTGAGTCAGTGATGCCA